GTGACTTGGCTTTTTTTCATAACAGAAACAGCTCGTTATTTTTGAATGGCACCACGCTGTGTAAAATATGATATGGCAGAGTAATCCTGATTTTTGGCACTATATATAGTTTGTCACCACTACAGTAAACCGACCAGGCTCTCCGACTGTTACACGGCGTAGGAGCCAAGTACTAGCCAACGTAGTGTTAAGCGAGAAAGGAACTTGTGGCTACCACTACAGCAGATACTACAGAGTACAGTACAAATTGTACTATACAGTCAGTATACTGTATACATATATATCAGGAGTAGATAATAGGGATTATAGGGGTTCCCTATTATCTACTCCTGATATATATATTGTAATTATATATATATATTATTATGCATATGCCAATATGCTAACAAACTAGAAGTACTACTACTACTTCTAGGCATAATTAATTAACAGGGATTATAGGGGTTCCCTATTATCTACTCCTGATATATATATTATATATATATATATTATTATGCATATGCCAATATGGTAACAAACTAGAAGTACTACTAGTACTTCTAGGCATAATTAATTAATAACTCAATGACCAGACCTGTCACCCGAGACCACCACAACTTCCACAAGTGTGAAGTGGTCCAGACTCCACAGTGACAATTGGCAGTGAATTGCCGGGTCATCCTCATCTCATCATTACTACATTAGCTAGGCTAACTCACCAGTGTCACTGCATCTACATCAGCCATTTTAAAATGCGATACGTATATGTGAGAACTTTATGTCTTGTATAATAAATATTATAGAAAATTAACTTTCGTTGCTGTGTTGATGTTGACATTTGCGACCAAAACAACGTCTCACTCTCAGATGATCATTTCTTTATAGAGCGCGCCGCAGTAACAAAAGATGGCTGCGCCTAGCAAGAGTTAACTGGCGCGTGATTTAACATTCGATTTTTCCTAGACGCTGTGGATATGTGCATGTATTTTACAAATAAACTATTCAACTGTTCGTACCGACGTTTTTTCACTCAGAAGCCAGCGGATCAAAGCAAGCTGCACAAGTGATCATAAAAATTCGAATTGTAATGTTCGTACAGAACCCATTCCTCAGTCTGAGTCTGTCTTGTTTTGTTATGCGATGTCGAGTCTCGTCTTTGGCATTTGTCAAATAATATTATTATACCCCTGTTGCGTAATGTTTTAACCAGCATCTTCAGGCTTGCTATTTCTAAATTCTCACAATGGCTGCACGTGATCTGCTTCATGTTCAACATCGAACTGCTGTTGCATTGCAGACATAACTAGCTTCGAAGTGCCAGTAAAAAGCCGTCGGAACTACAAAGTACAATACGTATAGCCTTAATCAATCTGACATTTATAATTTCTGTAATGTGTAATTGACTGCTACTAACACAACATTTTAGCCAAGGGCAAAAACAGAAAGACTGGCACCTGCTTCTTATAGTCACAGTGGTTATAGGGACATGAACTTAAACTCACTCTCTCTCTCTCTGAAATTTACTAATTACTATCATTTGTATTCACAGGTGTCAACTACAAGAACCTTCAGGCATTTGAGTATTATGGTGAACAGATAGTCTTCATTCAGCATCAAAGTGCTAGTGCCTCATCATTACAAGCACGTGCTGTGATTATGCTGCAAAGTGCCATTAGACACGTCACCAGAGGCTTGATCCGTGAACCTGACCGATTCTGTGATGGCTGCAGAAGAGGAATTTGGAACCAGGCAGTATTCCTGCCAAGCACTAAAAACAATTGTATCATACACCATTGGGCTCGACATCTGCTTCCTACACATGCCCTTACTTGCAGAACCTTCTGTGTAATCAATGGAATGAAGCAGAGGCGGCTTTATTCAAAGTCACTAAGTTTTGAGGCAATGGCTCCTGTGAGTTTGAATGATATCAAAAAGTTTCTAAATGATAACAACATCAAATTTCAACAGGGGTTCGCTTGTATTGTTCTCTCGTGTCCGCTATGCTGTGGGAAAGGCATCTCACTTGATCAGATGGATAACTTCTTCATAAACATGACAACAGGTAATTATTGAGTTAATGAATCGTAGTTTTCATTGCTTGACTGTCTTCAAGGTTTGCCTGCAGGTTTATTACCCGAACTGACCAAAGCGGTAATTGTAGAATTGCATGCAAATATTCAAACTAGCTTTTCTTCTTGTATCGTTGCAGGAATGTTTTTGTGTCACCAGTGCAAGCGATCTGGCTCCTGGGCATTGTTTCAGGATTATGTCGGTCTCATCTACGCATCAAGAGCGAAATCAGCATCAAAGACAAAAGCGACAACGAAGAAGAAGAGCGAACAGCTAGTGTATGTCAAAAGTATCAGCTGTGTAAAGCAGGGAGGAAACATCTATGCGAGTCACGCTAGAAGGGGTGGAAGATGACAAATGACAGGAGAAATGGGAAAACCCCATATCTATAAATCTACGGAAACTTGTATTTTACTGTATGTAGCATTAAAATGCTGAAGCAGATAAATTCAGTGAGGTGAATGAGAAATGTATGATATTCTGCAAACTATTACAAATTGCAGCATGTTTTGTCTTGTTTTCACAAGGGCTTTTATTGGCAGGAAAGTGCAACTCCCACCAGCAAAGCTTGACCCTGCTTATCAAGAGGATGTGAAGGTTGCCCAGGAGTTGTATAATAATGCGATACCCTATGAGAATATAGATGAAACCACTCTTCTCAGGGTTAATGATGCACTGGGAGTTCAGGTCAGTATCTTTCTAATAGGCATAGAAAAGACCTAACGACCCGTTAAAAGAACTATTCGACTGAGTGAAATAACCATGCTATGTTGCTTGGTTGGTCAAGCTAGACTGAAATCCTACACATTCCTACTGAACTGATAATGTGAAAAGTGAATCGATGTGAGCTAAAGCTTTGTAAAATGTGTTCAGGGAAATAATATCTCATATTTTCGCCATATAGAAACGTTAATTTGATAAGGAATATAGTGTTGGCATTTGTTAAAATGGATTTTCTTTTGTAAGGCCATTCTAAACAAATAACTATTACTATTCTGTCATTTCTAGTTTAAGCATGAGACGATGAAGAAATATAGAGTGCGATACCGAGATGATGCTCTTCTGTTTCCCTGCTATCACATCGACAAGAGCCTGGTGGGAGTTAAGAGCTTACAACTTGTCGGCGAGAAAGAGGAATGTATAGAGTCTCAAATGCCACGGTATTTGAGTAGATATTCAGATCCTTTTTTACCACCTGTCTGTGGATTTGTGGTGCCTATATAGTAATAATTCGGTGCTCCAGATGCACATGTTCATACTTATGTATGGAAAAAAATTATGAACTTTGCATCTGTTGATGCTTTTTCAAAAAATTTTATGTATTTTCTCATAAAAATACGTGTGCAATACTCCTAAGACTTGGATTCCTGGATGATGAGTATATCTGGTGTTTATATTTACAGACTCGAACTTTTTTCATTCTATTAGTTACTTATTGCTAAATTGTTTATTGCTTACTATTTGCTGATGTTATTAATTATCTAATTACTTTAAATCATGCATAAATAGGTTAATAGGAAAATAACAATTAATATAGAATCATTAATCCAGAGGTGCTGCACTGATTTATCTTCTATACATTTTTATAATAACATATATACGTCCATGTGTTGCTATTATATATATACTCATTACCTATTTATTTTAGCTGTGACCAACATGGTGGGTTGTTTGGCTGGCACACAGTGACGAGAGGGCACGAAGAGGTCGTGTTGACAGCTTCAGAGTTGGATGCGATAGCCGCCAATCAGGAAACAAAGATGCCAGCCCTCTCTCTGCCACGTGGAATATCTAACCTTCCTCAGGAAGTAAGACACGTGTACAGTAGCTGCCTTAAATGAACCACCAGAATTAAATCAGTGACTATCCAAATCTGTATAAACATCACTAATTATTTAGATCTAAATAAATGAGTTAACTATCGAACTGGTTTTATGGAAGTTGGTCAGATGGTATGTGGGCAGCATCAGAAGAAACTATGAAATTCAAGGCACTAGTTTAAGACTATTTACATCCCCAGGCCTTGGCCCTGTTAGAACAATTCAAGAGGATTACGCTGTGGTTCAACAATGACGTGCGATCCTGGGAGGCTGCGAAGAGATTTTCCAAGAAGTTAAATGAAAAAAGATGCTATTTTATTAGGTGAGATAGTGTGAAATGACATGTGCTATATATGTGTATGCACAGTGAGCTGAATATGCGTAACTATATTCGAGAAACATCAAAGAAAGGGCTTTAATATTATGTTTGTATATTCACTGGCTGGATGGCTGCTTACTTGCTATTTACTGTGTTAGTGTAGTAGTTATATACCTCAGATTGCTGTTCTCATATTAGAATTGTTTATGTTTTTCAGGCCAAAAGATAATCAGCCAAGTCCACTTCAAGCACTGAAAAAGGGGCTTAATTTGGCCCAAATTTTGCATGGCTCATGTCCAGTCGGGCATAAGTCGATTGTGTCATTTCGTGCACTAAGACAGGATGTCTTGTCTGAGCTGTCACATGTTTCAGACGTTGCTGGGGTCAAGGTAGGCATTGACAATTTACGATCATACATATTTGACCCAAGTATAGCTATGTAGACCTATCTTTATGCTTGGCCATCTACTGGTGGAAACAGAGAAAAAAATGAACGTATTATTCTCCATTGCAGTGGAAGAAGTTTACACAACTGAACAAGCTGTTGAAAGGCCACAGGCCAGGAGAACTGACTATTTTCACAGGTAGACTGTACTGTCACTTCCTCAATTCTAAGTCTATGTTTTGTATGGGAACAAGATAAAAAAAAGTCCAGGAGGGAAATAAAGGAAGGTAGAGAGAAAGCAGAGCGAGGGCACAAGAGGAAGGAAAGGAAAGAAATATTGTGTGTGTGTGTCTTGAACAATAGCCTTAAACACATCTTTTTGAATCATAATGCTGACACAATTAAAAATACTGACATGATCACCTGTTTGTAGATTTTTAATTGTGTCACATTCCCTTCAACCATCATTTAAGATTGCAGCTTGGTGATCAGTATCATGAAATCTCTGTGCTGGCACATATTCCCATTCTCTGACACACTTAGCTGAATGTTTGCATATATATGCAGGCCCCACCGGATCAGGAAAGACAACCTTCATGAGCGAATATAGTCTGGACCTCGCTATGTCCGGCGTCAACACACTGTGGGGTAGCTTCGAGATACGCAACGTCAGGCTTGCCAAAATGATGCTGACTCAGTTTGCGCAGTGAGTACAGCATGCTTCATAGGGTGGATGCCCGGGATTCTTTTTCCCTACCCATCCGCTTACTACTTGCTCCTTCAAATAGTGTGTTGTATTATTGTTGACAAAAACATTTTAATCATAGTTTTATATGTCAGTTAATAACATGCTTATGATTGCAGGAAACCGCTGTCGTTTTTCATCGACGAATTTGACCACTGGGCCGACAAGTTTGAGAGTCTACCCATATATTTCATGACGTTCTACGGTCAGGAAAACTTAAAGAATGTCATTGATGTAAGTTCTTCCCGTATAGAGCAAAATGAATCTGTTCGGTCTGTTATCGATCTGTTCAGTGTGATCGTGCAACCACTATAGTGGGTCTCGTTTTTGGTAATTGCATCAATTGTATTCAATTGCCTCTATTGCTATACATTTAATATTGCTATAAATTAAATTGCTACATCTAATGATTAATTGCCTCAATTGCATTAATAAAAATTCTTGCATGCTCGGGGTGCTATGAGCATGTGTAAAAATTCGTCAACACCCGCCGCCATGCATGAACTGCTATGAGCATGTGTAAAAATTCGTCAACACCCGCCGCCATGCATGAACTGCTATGAGCATGTGTAAAAATTCGTCAACACCCGCCGCCATGCATGAACTGCTATGAGCATGCGTAAAAATTTGTCGCCGTGCCAACACTTTCCGCTGAGTGTCGTCTGACGGTCGCGTGCGCGTTGCAGACGATGTCGCACGCCGTCTACGTACACGATATCCAGCACGCCATCATCGACAACGTGCAGTTCATGATCGGCATGGACACGCGCGTCGACCGCTTCTGGCGGCAAGACCTCGTCGTCTCGTCGTTCCGCAAGTTTGCGACGACGAACAACTGCCACGTCACGCTCGTCATGCACCCGCGCAAGGTTCGTCATGCACCCGCGCAAGGTTCGTCATGCGCCGCTCGCGAATATTTTCGCTTTGTGTCCATCTCGATCGTCGTCCTCTAAGTTTATTGTCGTTGTTTTTGTGTGTGTTGTTGTTGATGGTTGTGATGTTGTTGTTTGTTGTTGTTTGTTGTTGATGATTCGGCGCGGGCCGTTCGCGAATATTTTCGCTTTCTATCTATCGCGATCGTCATCCTCTAAGTTTTTTTGTTTGTTTTGTTTATTTTCGGGTTGTTGTTGATGAGGGTTGTCATGTTGTTGTTTGTTGTTGATGTAGTTTTTTTTTTTTATGTTCCTGTTCTCCCGACAGGAGAAAGAGTCTGACATGCTGCAGAACGCGTCGATATTCGGAGGAGTGAAGGCAAGCCAGGAGGCAGACAACGTTCTCATCTTGCAGGATCGGCGACTCACATCACAGCGCGGCAAGAAGTACCTACAGGTGTGTGCCTGGTGGGGGGGGGGCGATGTGGTGTCATTGTATCACTGTGTGAGCATGTTCGTGAATCTTGTACGAAAGGGACGTGGTGGGAGGTGGGGTTTCCTACTTTGTAGGCCTCAAACTGTCTGAGTCCAGTAACCCTTGACCTATTTTAATCGTGTTTTGACCAATTAGAGCATGGAGCTGTATGCTATGCGACAAATCTGAGCATAGTAACGTACGTGGTTGATGTTATCAACCTGTTGCAAGTCTTTTCCTTCCCTGAAACAGAGAACAGGAACTCGTCTGGCCGGTAGGTGGCGCCACATGCCAACTCGCGATTATGAAGTGGAGTACGTACCTACATTCACGTATGTGTCGAAATGTTAAGGCGTCTTGTAACTATTATTTTCTATTTGCACTGCAATAGGTGACGAAGAACAGGTTCGATGGAGAGATCGGCATCATGCCCCTGGAGTTTGACAGGGAAACGGTCAGTTACTCTCGCAAGAAGCAAAAAGATGCGAAAAAGTCAGAAAATGAGGACATATCTTCGCAGGCCCTGGTACAAGAACACAATGAACCTCAATCATTAGTCGATGAGAGTACAGTTCACGTTGGTGAGCCACCGCTAGACGACAAGGATCCAGTGTAAGAGTTCATTTCTCTTACTTTTGTACTTTTCTTTCAAACTCGCAGCAGTAAGATAGGGGAAATTAATTATGGTGCTAACCACTTTATTGAACTGAAGTCGTTAGTAAATATGTCGAATTATGAATGGGAAGTGATATTGCTACCTCAAACTAGATCGTGCCACAATTTTTTATGTAATGTAGCTGGATAATTTCTTAATTAAAAATACTTGCTAATTGCCGCTTGCTCGTTTGAATGTGCACGATGCATCTGCAAAAGGTGTAACTGCGATATTTATAGGGCCGAACCATTTGTGGTGGTTGTGGAGATTACAGATATATGAATATGTTACAGCTTCTTGTATTAGCTGGTCTTCGCTATCTCAGATGTATTTTAGAAGTCATGGGAGTGCTCCGTGGAGATCACGGAGCCAATGCAAGGGTTGAATTTTTATTTTCTTGGCGTGCGACAATTGTTGCTGTGGCACCAAGGGAAACACATTTCCTTATATGAATGACTACTTAGGCAACTTGTTTTTTATAAACTTTTTAAGTAGCACGTGCAGAGATGGGCACATACACAACATTGAATTTATGGGAAGAGTGGGAAGAAATCCAGGTAGGGTAGCCAGGGCGCTTTATATCTGTGGATATCGGCCGGTTTTGTGAAGCACCGTGGCAAGTAGGGGGGCAACCATGGAAATTTCTGTTGGTGCCATGGTGAAATTCAACCCTTGCGATGCAAGAAGCTGTAGAGTAAGACCAATATCCCCAGGATTTGCTGCTCAGCAATAGCATGCCGATATAAAACTTGGTAAATCATAAAATTTGATTGAAAGTTAGAAAGTTTTACAAAAATAATTTGTGATATTGACATGTGCAGATGTACTATACATACGTGTGTTTGATTACATCAAACGGAATTGATCGTGGCAGTAGCGAACATATGACTGAGCATAAACAAAGCCATAAATGTTTTTTTAATCCATACACTAAAGTTTATATTGTGTAAATAAAATTATTTGCGAAGATGTCATATCCCTGTAATGTACAGACGAAAAGAAAAATACAATAATATGTCTTTGAGACGTCCCAATCATTTGTTTCGTTGTACTCATGTATCTCAAAATTAAATTATTTTCTTTTTCTTTACTGACATGGCTGTAGTACTGTACGACCTTGGAAAATTTATTCACATATAGATAAGGTTGATGTGTTTTGCCGTGGTAAGCCGCTATATTTCCAAATTACACTAGGGACAAGTTTAAAATTGAAATGATCGAATGAAAAATTTTGTTTTATTTACTCTTGCCTAACATCATGAATTATATATACGACACTTAATCGTATAATCGATCACAAAACTATATACAGTAAAACTCGCATAAGTCATCGTCTAACTCCTCAATTCGCATAAGTCGTCATGGAAGTCAAAGTCTCGATTTTCTCTCATAGTAAATCCATTGGAATAGCCCCGCCTAAGTCGTCATTATGTACAAGTCGACGCCCTCAGACAGGTTCCATGTAATACAAACAACAGTAATTTTCTATCTGTAAGTCGTCATAAGAAATGCCGATGGCGCAGTGTACGGTCTAGGGGATGTGCGCAATTTACTGTTTTTTTCCCCGGGGTGGCCGGGAAATTAACAAGACGTTTTACCAGCTGGAGCGGGGCCATACCAAGAGCGAATAAAGAAGGATATTCTAATAATACTTCTTACTAATATTACTTCTTATATTCTAATAATTCTTCTCTAAGCTCTTTATGTTACTCATGTCACGTTTACGTTACCTCGCTAGGTTATTACACGTTTAACTTAACTCTTAGCTATTCTACGTGTTAATATGGTAACCACCGGCGCCGCTCCTCGTCTGTCTCTCCCCGTCGTGTACTCCGCGGCTCGGCGCGAGTTCGTGGGTTGGCAGTGTGTCTCCTTGTCCGGGGTAGGCTATAGCTCCCTTAGTATAAGGTATATGCCTTCTCGGGCGTCGTCCTGCTCGTGGGTAGCTCTCCGTCAGGCGCGTTCGTTCGTTCGTTCGTTCGTTCGTTCGTTCGCTCGATCGTTCGTTTGTTCGTTCGTTCGTGGCCGTCCGAAGACCGACTGACTTTACCGTTGGATCTTGGCTGCTTATATAGGACCCTGCGGTGACGTAGGATCCGGACAGTGCCTCCCTCTCACGTGACTCAGGTGCCTGGGTGTTGTCACTCCGGCCTTCGCTTGACACGTGTACGGGTGACGCAACCCCCTTGGTCCAGTATATGCACGAGCGTCGCACCCCCCCCCCCCCTGTCCGCCACGTGCTCGGCAGGTGCAACTCTCTCGCCTCGTTCGTGTACATGGTGGCGCAACTCCCTTACCTCCCCCTTCTGGTAGCTATGGGACCCCTTCCACCGCGCTTGTCTGTGTCGTTGGGGAAAACTTTCTACTTGTCGCTAGGGGAACTTTCTGCTCATAGGGTCTATGTCCCCTAGGGTACTGCCGAAACGTACCCTGGGTACGGTCCGGTATACCGGAACGTACCCTGGTAACTATCTGATATGGTTAGGGTTAGGGAGTAGGGCTCATAGGGTCTATGTCCCCCAGGGTACTGCCGCAACGTACCCTGGGTACAATCCGGTATACCGGAACGTACCCTGGTCACTATTTGATATGGTTAGGGTTAGGGTTAGGGTTCGGGTTAGGGAGTAGGTAGCTCTAGTACTATAGCCCGCTTACATTGACTGCCGCTAAGCGGGCTATAGTACTAGAGCTAGGGAGTAGGCGTCTAGGCGACTCTCTAGACTCGTTAGTGGAGTAGGCGAGGTACGGTCCGGCATATTAGATAGTACCAGGGTACGTTCCGGCAGTACCCCAGGGGACATAGACCCTCTCACCGTTACGCACAGCGAATTTTTGAAGAGGAATAATGGTCAAAATGTTTATTCACGCTTTATTAACGTAATTATGTATATTATAT